TTTTTTTTTTGCGGTATGTGGGCCTCTCACTGTTGTGGCCTCTCCCGTTGCAGAGCACAGGCTCCGGACGCACAGGCCCAGCGGCCAAGGCCCACGGGCCCAGCCGCTCCGCGGCACGTGGGACCCTCCCGGACCGGGGCACGAACCCGCGCCCCCTGCATTGGCAGGCGGACCCCCAACCACTGCGCCACCTGGGAAGCCCCTCACTGCTTTTTTCATGGAACTTTTTTTGAAAGCACGACTGACAGACAAATTATGATTATTTAGACTTGGATACTTGGCATACATTTTCTTGTGAATTCAAGAAGGAAAACTATCATTTCAAGGAAAATAATTGACATTTGTTGCCAATGCTTCAAATTCAAGCTTTTAAGCACAAATTAGAATTTTTCAAAAATTTGTATCCGCCATCTGAGGTTGACAACTTTCCAACACTTCAAAACTTTTCTGATGGAATCTGTGATGATATTAACAAATGGACTTTGGGGGATGTTGTATAATGAAGCCACATTCCACATTGCAATTAACTTTTCAAAAACTACCACTTGTTGAGTTTGGACCACATTTTCTTCATATACTTAACAAAGAAACAAAAAACAACATATACCAATAGATTGTATGCAGAAGTAGATCTGGGACTCCCCTGTTCACTGTTCAGGTGGACAGTGAATAGATTTGCAAACAAACCCAGTCTTTTTACTTTTCTTTATTTTGGAAAATAGTTATTTTTCATTAAAATATTTATATAATGAGTTCATTATGTTTTTCAATATATTTTTTAGAAACTTAGTTCTAATTTCTAATATGGTAAGTATCAATAGATAATTCATATAACCAAAACGTCTTTGGGGTCCTCAATAGTTTATAAGAGTTTTGTAAAGGGGTCTTAGGGCCAAAAGTTTGAGAACTCCTATGCTGCTGTAAGCTAACTCCTACGGCGGTGAAACCTAATTCTTTGAGGGATCCTTTCTAGTGACGGTGAAACAGGTCAGAATCTATCAGGGCTTCAAGTCAAGGCTCTACACAGAAAAGACTTAAGACTTGGGGCTCAGAGCAGTGGCGGAGGCATAGCCAAGACTGCGTCTCCGGTCTCCCTGGAAACCACCCTTCTCAGGTCTCCTGGAGCTAGCCCTCCGTTCCTCTCCGCCTCTCATTGGAGCGGGTTAAGTCAGTGGGCGGTCTGTCGGGAGGGGGGTGGGGCTTCATTTCCTTCCGGGGCCCTCTCGCAGAAGCGTACGGACGTCACGCAGGACGCCGCTGCCCTGACGCTCCGCCTTTGCATCCCCCATTGAGCCCTTAGTAGCTGGCGTTGGCCCTCAGTGGGGAAGCAAGCTTTTTCCTTTCGGAGGCCTGGGGTCCCGCAGCCTCTATCCTACCTGGCCTGGCCTGGCGCTGCCCAGCGCGTCCGTGCCTCCGTCATGGATCTGAATTTAAACCGAGCGGATTATTTACAGGTAAACCTGAGGGGTTGGGGCGGTCGCTGCGCAGGGTGAGCTGCGCTCCCTGAGAGGATTCGATCCTTCCACTGGCGTCTGTTGGGGTGTCTCGGCGGCGACGCGGCGGCACAGGAGCGGATCTGGGTGCCACCCTCCAGACACCTTGCTCACGGGCAACTCCGGCTTGTTGGTGACGGTCCACGGGGACTTGGATAGAGGGAGCACGCGCCCCCGCTGTGCTGGCGTCTGCCAGGTCCTGAAGATGCTCCGAATGTCCTGATGCGCTCCCGGGTTCCTCCCCGGGGCCCTTCTCCTCCCCGGCTGCAGCTTCTAACTCCCTGATCGCCATCTCTACCCAGTCCCTTCTGCCGAGCGCCAGACACTTGTTTCTTACTGTGAGCTGGACCCCACGAGCCAGATCATCATAAAAGCAATGACAGCCGTTTTCGAGCGTCTAGTTTATTCTCAGATCTTAACACACGTACATATATTTAATCCTCATAAAAATTCCTAAAGTAGGTACATGAGGATCAAGGGGCTCAGAGAAGGTGATTTACATGATAGCGGAAAAGATGGAGTTCCTATTTGAAACAAAGCGTGTGACTCCAGAGCTGGTGTTCTTCCTGGCACACCACCCTGCCTCTCAGTATTTCAGCCCTAGACTTTCTCTCCTTCTCCATCTCCTTTTTCAGTAATCCTACTTTGGCTAATGGTACAAATGTTTGTCCTGTCACTTTCCTTGAGAGTCATGCTAGGTACTTTCCACCTTAATATCTTCCATATCCACCTGGTCACCACATTTTGCTGCTTTTATCTCCCAAATATCTCACGAATCTGTCCCATTTGCTCCCTCCATCTCTGTTACCCCTAGTTCAGTCCTCATCTTCTCTTGCTTGGATAATTGAAATAGCTCCTAGCCTCCAGCTTACCTCCCTCCAAGACATCCTCACATCATTGCTAGACGGATGTTTCAAAAATACGAATCTAAACAGATTAAACTTTAATACTACTCCCTAGAATACAGAATTAAAGGATAGACCTATACTATATGTAAATTCTTTCATTGTCTGTTGTTTTCACCAGTTTCTCTCTCTTTGGTCCCATTCTCCTCCCCTAACCATGCACCACTAGTGACAGTGCCCTGCTGAGCAAACCATGCTGTTTCCATCTTCTGTAACGTTTGTAAAATAATCTTCATCAGCATGGTGGTATTTTAGCTAAAATCTTTTATGTTGCATTTTCAATAATAATCTATTACCAAAGATTTTAAATTACAAACACGCTTTTAATAACTATGAAGTTGTAAAAGAAGGCTTATAGAAATATTTTTTTGGTGTGAAATATCTTGCCAGTAATGCCACGTTATTATTTTTGACTTGACAACTTTATAGCATAAATTTTACTATTTTTGATTGTTCCCTGTATTCTGACTTTTGTAGTATATTTCATTAGAAAATAAGTTCATTGCTGATAATAATTATTTCATATCACTAATTAATTGCAATAGAAAAACTGAGGCTTACTATGATTAGAATCTGCTGGTCCTTTTAATCTCTGATTTAATAACTTCAAATTAGTGTATCAGAAATCACTCACCAGGCAGCTGATGTGTTTCCTTAGGTGGGAGTGACCTCTCAGAAGACTATGAAGCTACTTCCTGCTTCAAGATATAGAGCCACACAAAAGGTAACGTGGATATACTGATTTCTCCATATCTCTTCAGCTCTGACAGAGGAGAGGTTTACATTTCCTTCATTATTGATAAGTGTTTTTTTTAATTCCAAGGCTAAAATGGAAATGAATTTCTTTTCATTTGAACAGAGATTAGAATACCAAGGGACATTTATAGACAGTATGTTTCTTGGACATTATAATTATTATGTACAATTAGTAAATAGTATAAACAAACTTGTTGAAAACCATATTCCATTTTTCTGGTAATAATTTACCCTGTGTGTACCAGATTGTGTATATGAAAAAAGAAATAAAAAACACAATAGACTGTAGAGAAAATGCTTTTTAAAAACTTTATCATATTTTTAAGAGTAATTAAATATACTGATGTTAATCTTTACATTTAACTAACAATATTGATTATTTTTATAGAAATATTAATCCTGTGATTTCCATAAGACACGTATAATTTCTTGGTAGACCAGTAGGATATTTTAATAGCTGCAAAATAAATATAGTATTCCTATATATTAACATTTTATCAGGATAAATCAACAGATTTTTGATTGTCATTTATTGTATTCACTCAATTAGAGCAACACTTCTCAAACTTTTTGGTCTCAGGACTCCTTTACACTTTTTAAAAAGATCATTTTCTTTATTTTTTATTGAAATATACTTGGTGTACAATATTATATAAGTTACAGGTGTACAATATAATGATTCATAATTTTCAAGGTTATATTCCATTTAGTTATTATAAAATATTGGCTGTATTCCCTGTGTTATACTATATATCCTTTTAGCTTATTTTATACATAGTAGTTTGTATCTCTTAATCCCCTAGTCCTGTGTTGCCCCTCCTCCTTCCCTCTCCCCGCTGGTAACCACTGGTAGTTTGTTTTCTATATCTGTGAGTCTGCTACTTTTTTTTTAAATGTTCACTAGTTTGTTGTATTTTTTAGATTCTGCATACAAATGTTATCATACAGTTTGTCATTCTCTGTCTGACTTATTTCACTTAGCATAATGCCCTCCAAGTCCATCCATGTTGTTGCAAAAGGCAAAATTTCGTTCTTTTTTATGGCTGAGTAGTATTCTTTATCCATCATCTGTTGATGGACGCTTAGGTTCCTTCCATATCTTGGCAATTGTAAATAATGCCACTGTGAACATTAGGGTGCATGTACCTTTTCGAATTCATGTTTTTGGGATTTTTTGGATATATACCCAGGAGTGGCATTGCTGGGTCATATGGTAGTTCTATTTTTAGTTGTTTGAGGAACCTCCATACTGTTCTCCACTGTGACTGCACCAATTTTCATTCCCACCAACAGTGTACGAAGGTTTCCCTTTTCTGCACATCCTTGCCAACATTTGTTATTTGTGTTCTTTTTGATGATAGCCATTCTGACTGGTGTGAGGTGATATCTCATTGTGGTTTTGATTTGCATTTCCCTGAGGATTAGGGGTGTTGAGCATCTTTTCATGTGCCTGTTGGCCATCTGCATTTCCTCTTTGGAAAAATGTCTGTTCAGGTCTTCTGCCCATTTTTTAATCAGGTTGTTTGTTTTTTTTTATGTTAAGTTGTATGAGCTGCTTACGTATTTTGGATATTAACCCCTTATTGGTCTTATTATTTGCAAATATTTTCTCCCATTTGATAGGTTGTCTTTTCGTTTTTTTGATGGTTTCCTTTGCTTTGCAAAAGCTTTTAAATTTAATTAGGTAAATCAGCTATACGTCAATAAAAATAAAAAGTAAAAAGTTTTAAAAAAATCAAATAGGTCTGTCACAACCTCATTTTGATAATTTTTTTTTATATATAAATTTATTTACTTATTTTTGGCTACGTTGGGTCTTTGTTGCTGCGTGTGGGCTTTCTCTAGTAGCGGTGAGCAGAGGCTACTCTTTGCAGCGGTGTGCAGGCTTCTCATTGCGGTGGTTTCTCTTGTTGCGGAGCATGGGCTCTAGGCGCGCAAGCTTCAGTAGTTGTGGCACTCAGGCTCAGTAGTTGTGGCTTGCGGGCTCTAGAGCTCATGCTCAGTAGTTGTGGCGCACGGGCTTAGCTGCTCCGTGGCATGTGGGATCTTCCCGGACCAGGGCTCGAACCCATATCCCCTGCATTCACAGGCTGACTCTTAACCGCTGCGCCACCAGGGAAGTGCCTGATAATGTTTTAAAAGTTAATCTTAAAATGTTCTTATGCTCCAGTTAAAGGAAAAAAAAAATTGCCTCCTTGCCGTTTCTGTCTCTATTTTCTTGTTCTGTTTACCTCGTAGGAACAGAACAGAAAGCCAGCTACTTCCATAACAGCTCTTCATAGCCTTCTCTTTGGCCCTTTCTTACAATTCTTTGGTGGATATTTTTTGTGGGGATGTCTTTACTAGATTTTCTGGTCTCTACTTTTAAAATCATAATTTATATATTGAGAATCTTCTTTTTCCCATATAAGTTAGTAGGGCATAATAACAGTAATTTTAGATTCTCTCCAATCTGTTACAGGTGGTTGTTGGAGATCATGATGGAGTAGTTATGTGCTTTGGCATGAAGAAGGGAGAAACAGTGGTATGTGTACCTTTTGAATACTCCTACATTAAAACTTTTTCTAAAGCATAATGAAAAATAAGTTGAGGGAAGTAGTCATATGAAGTATGAGATTACAGGCAGCATGAGAGTCATTTGCTAGCCATTTGTAAAACATCTTCGACAGCCTAGGGTGATATATTAGTTTTTTATGCTGTGTAACAAGTTACCTCAAATTTAGGGGCTTAAAACAAAACACATTTATTATCTCATGGGGCAGGAGTCCAAGCTCGAGGCCTCACGTGGCTGCAACACATGTACAGCCAGGCTCTATTGCTTTCTGGAGCTCAGGGTCCTGTTCCAAGCCCATGTAGTTGTTGGAAGAATTCAGTTCTTTACTGTTGTTGGACTGAGGTCCCCACTTTATGGCTGTCCATAAGCCAGGGCCTGCTTTCAGCGTCCTGAGGCCCACAATTCCTTGCCATGCGCTCTTCTCCCAGGCCCTCGCACAACATGGTGAACTGCTTCTTCAGGCCAACAGGGAAATCTGTCCAGTCTGCTAAGATGGAGTCTCATATAACAGTGTAACATGGACGTGACCATCGCATCACCTTTGCCACTTAATATAGCCTAACCAAGGAAGTGAGTTTTATGTCATCATACTCCCAGACCATAGTTTACAAGTGATGGGTCTGAGATGTGAACTCTTATATTCATTCTACATTATATGAAATTTGCAAAAAGATGAAGAGGGTAAAAACTATCAGAAACTCAGTGTTTCCATTGTTCATATATCCTTCCAGATATTTTATTCTCTGTGTATAAGTCATTGGCAGTGAAGGGAAGAAACTGATGCCAATAATAAAATAGAAAATAACGAGGAATAAACTAAGGATGCAAATGTTTCCAATTAGATAGAGAGATATGAAGTTATATGCTCAGGTTTTCAGTAAATTCTACAGTCCTTAATTTATACTACTAAAATTTATAAAATTGTAAGGGAACCAGGAGAGATTAGTTTTAAAAAGATGTTTAAGGTATAAAAACATGTCCACTGGAACCAGCTGAGGAATCTTGGTAAAATGCAGATTCTCATTCAGTAGATCTGGGGTTGAGCCTGAGAGTCTGCATTTCTAATAAGGGAAGTGATGCTAATGCTGCTGCTTAGCGAACCCTACTTTGAGTTGCAAGAGTTTAGATTTTAATAACATCATTGAAATGCGATGTGTGTGGGAATAAACGTTGCAAAGTTTGAAGATATTTAGCAAAAAACCCAGAAGACCACTGGATACATTTGTATCTAAAGGTGTTCCTATTTAGAACTATAATATATTGTAAGTTTAAAATCACAGCATTTTTTTATGGTAAAAGAAAATACTTGGAATAAATTTGTGTACTTAACTTTTTCCTCAATGATTTTTGCAGACAGTATTCAAGACTTTACCTGGGCAGAAGATTGCCACATTGGAACTAGGAGGGGTTCTTAACACGCCCCAGGAGAAAATATTTATTGCTGCAGGATCTGAAATTAGAGGCTTCACAAAGAGAGGAAAACAGTTTCTCTCTTTTGAAACAAACCTCACTGAAAGCATTAAAGCTATGTATGTTTATTCTCTTTTTTATTTTTACATATCCATTTATAATATTTTGGATAGGTGACAAACATCAGATTAAGTATCACATCTTAGGTTATCTGGGAAATAATTAAAGATACTTTCTTTATTAGTCGGAAATTAAATTTGACCTGGAGTCAATACAAAATCAATTGGGTGTTGAAATCTTATCTTTTTAAGACATTTATAGTATTTTTAGCTTCATTTTTGACTAGTTAGTTCAGTTATGATTCATGATCAAAGTATAAAAGAAGTGAAAGAAAATCTCCAGATATTTAGGTTCCTGGTGCTTTGCTGTCTCTGGTAGTTCTGATTTTGAGGTAGCATCATTTTGTTAAAAGGCTGGCCATCAAAGTTAATGACTACCAAAAAGGTATAATTTCAGGTGAGTCAGGTAAGACTCTAAGTGAAAAATAGCTTCCTTAATGGCTTCCTGCTATGTGAAATTTTGCAATTAAAATTTAATTTTTGAATCATGGAGAACTGGAAGAGGCTTTAAAGTTTATCTATCCACTGTCCTTCAAACCTGCTGCTTAGGAGAATCCCTTGGAAGCTTTAAACAATAGATTCCTTGTCCTACCTCATACCTGCAGAGTCAGAATTATTAGGAGTGGGTTAAGAGAACAGTTTTTCATTTGAATCCTGTGCAACCATGTTATATAAGAAGCTAGACCTTGGTTTGGAAACTACTGATCCAGAGTTCTATTAATGTATAGCTGTCCTGTGTAATTCTGTATAATGCACAGCATGTGTCCTGATGTCTGGGCTGTAAAACTTAGGTTTGGTGAGATTAGATAAGAATTAAACAGTGGCAAGTGGAAGTAATTTCAGTGGCTTAATAAGAATATCATTCATTTCTAGAAATGCTTTTCTAGATAGACATGGCCAGTGATAATTGTGAAATACTAAAACCAAAGTAGCTAATTATTAGCATACCTCCACATTCAGAAAGGAGTTTCCCAGCCAATAGTCTCTTTAGCTAGTTTCTTAAATGTTTTTACTGGAGTGGCAGAGGTAGGATGGAAAGGTTCTTTACTCAGTTTTTGAAAATTTATTATCTGAATCACCACATTGATAAGGTTGCATGGGAAAGCAAGATTATAACTTGACAATATTCAGTAAGAAAACTGACCACTTATAAAATTGATTACCACTCATTAATCCTTCCCTGCTTATAATGCAGATGGATTTGAAAATGAAATTTCAAATCTTGTAAGAGATTTAGAATTTCATTAAGTTGATAAAAATTATATTGAGAACTTTTTATTTATTTATTTATTTTTAACAGCAGGTTCTTATTAGTTATCTATTTTATACATATTAGTGTATATATGTCAATCCCAATCTCCCAATTCATCCCACCACCATCAGCCCCCCGCCAGTTTTCCCCCTTGGTGTCCATACGTTTGTTCTCTACATCTGTGTCTCTATTTCTGCCCTGCAAACCGGGTCATCTGTACCATTTTTTTAGGTTCCACATATATGCGTTAATATACGATATTTTTCTCTTTCTGACTTACTACACTTTGTATGACAGTCTCTAGATCCATCCACGTCTCTACAAATGACCCAATTTCCTTCCTTTTATGGCTGAGTAATATTCCATTGTATATATGTACCACATCTTCTTTATCCATTCATCTGCTGATGGGCATTTAGGTTGCTTCCATGACCCGGCTATTGTTTTTTTTTTTTTTTTTGCGGGCCTCTCACTGTTGTGGCCTCTCCCATTGTGGAGCACAGGCTCCGGACGTGCAGGCTCAGCGGCCATGGCTCACAGGCCCAGCCGCTCCGCGGCATGTGGGATCTTCCCGGACCGGGGCACGAACCCGTGTCCCCTGCATCGGCAGGCGGACTCTCAACCACTGCGCCACCAGGGAAGCCCTCGGCTATTGTAAATAGTGCTGCAATGAACATTGGGGTGCATGCGTCTCTTTGAATTATGTTTTTCTTTGGGTATATGCCCAGTAGTGCGATTGCTGGGTCATATGGTAATTCTATTTTTAGTTTTTTAAGGAACCTTCATACTGTGCTTCATAGTGGCTGTATCAATTTACATTCCCACCAACAGTGCAAGAGGGTTCCCTTTTCTCTACACCCTCTCCAGCATTTGTTGTTTGTAGATTTTCTGATGATGCCCATTCTAACTGGTGTGAGGTGATACCTCATTGTAGTTTTGATTTGCTTCTCTAATAATTAGTGATGCTGAGCGTCCTTTCATGTGTTTTTTGGCAATCTGTATGTCTTCTTTGGAGAAATGTCTATTTAGGTCTTCTGCCCATTTTTGGATTGGGTTGTTTGTTTTTTTAATATTGAGCTGCATGAGCTGTTTATATATTTTAGAGATTAATCCTTTGTCTGTTGATTCGTTTGCATATATTTTATCCCATTCTGAAGATTGTCTTTTTGTCTTGTTTGTAGTTCCCTTTGCTTTGCAAAAGCTTTTAAGTTTCATTAGGTCCCATTTGTTTGTTTTCATTTTTATTTCCATTACTCTAGGAAGTGGATCAAAAAAGATCTTGCTGGGATTTATGTCAAAGAGTGTTCTTCTTATGTTTTCCTCTAAGAGTTTTATAGCATCTGGTCTTACATCTAGGTCTCTAATCCATTTTGAGTTTATATTTGTGTATGGTGTTAGGGAGTGTTCTAATTTCATTCTTTTACATGTAGCTGTCCGGTTTTCCCAGCACCACTTATTGAAGAGACTGTCTTTTCTCCATTGTATATCCTTGCCTCCTTTGTCATAGATTAGTTGACCATAGGTGTGTGGGTTTATCTCTGGGCTTTCTATCCTGTTCCATTGATCTATATTTCTGTTTCTGTGCCAGTACCATTGGCTTGATTACTGTAGCTTTGTAGTATAGTCTGAAGTCAGGGAGTCTGATTCCTCCAGCTCCATTTTGTTCCCTCAAGACTGCTTTGGCTATTCGGGGTCTTTTGTGTCTCCATACAAATTTTAAGATTTTTTGTTCTATTTCTGTAAAAAATGCCACTGGTAATTTGATAGGGATTGCATTGAATCTCTAGGTTACCCTGGGCAGTATAGTCATTTTCACAATATTGATTCTTCCAATCCATGAACATGGTATATCTCTCCATCTGTTTGTAGCATCTTTAATTTCTTTCATCAGTGTCTTATATTTTTTCTGCATACAGGTCTTTTACCTCCTTAGGTAGCTTTATTCCTAGGTATTTTATTCTTTTTGTTGCAGTGTTGAATGGGATTGTTTCCTTAATTTGTCTTTCAGATATTTCATCATTAGTGTATAGGAATGCAAGAGATTTGTGTGCATCAATTTTGTATCCTGCAACTTTACCAAATTCATTGATTAGCTCTAGTAGTTTTCTGGTGGCATCTTGAGGTTTCTCTATGTATAGTATCATGTCATCTGCAAACAGTGACAATTTTACTTCTTTTCCAATTTGTTTTCCTTTTATTTCTTTTTCTTCTCTGATTGCCGTGACTAGGACTGCCAAAACTGTGTTGAATAATAGTGGCAAGCGTGGACATCCTTGTCTTGTTTCTGATCTTAGAGGAAATGCTTTCAGTTTTTCACCATTGAGAGTGATCTTTGCTGTGGGTTTGTCATATATGGCCTTTATTATGTTGAAGTAGATTCCTTCTATGTCCACTTTCTGGAGAGTTTCTATCATAAATGGGTGTTGAGTTTTTTAAAAGCTTTTTCTGCATCTATTGAGATGATCGTATGGTTTTTCTTCTTCAGTTTGTTAATGTGTATCTCATTGATTGATTTGTGTATATTGAAGAATCCTTGCATCCCTGGGATAAATTCCACTTGATCATGGTGTATGATCCTTTTAATGTGTTGTTGAATTCTGTTTGCTAGTATTTTGTTGAGGATTTTTGCACTGTATTCATCAGTGATATTGGTCTGTAATTTTCTTTTTTGTAGTATCTTTGTCTGGTTTTGGTATCAGGGTGATGGTGGCCTCATAGAATGAATTTGAAAGTGTTCCTTCCTCTGCAATTTTTTGGAAGAGTTTGAGAAGGATGAGTGTTAGCTCTTCTCTAAATGTTTGATAGAATTCACCTCTGAAGACATCTGGTCCTGGACTTTTGTTTGTAGGAAGATTTTTAATCACAGTTTCAATTTCATTACTTGTGATTGGTCTGTTCATATTTTCTATTTCTTCCTGGTTCAGTCTTGGAAGGTTATACCTCTCTAAAGATTTGTCCATTTCTTCCAGGTTGTCCATTTTATTGGCATATAGTTGCTTGTAGTAGTCTCTTATGATGTTTTGTATTTCTATGGTGTCCATTGTAACTTCTCCTTTTTCATTTCTAATTTTATTGATTTGAGTCCTCTCCCTCTTTTTCTTGATGAGTCTGGATAAAGGTTTATCAGTTTTGTTTATCTTCTCAAAGAACCAGCTTTTAATTTTATTGATCTTTGCTATTGTTTTCTTTGTTTCTATTTCATTTATTTCTGCTCTGATCTTTATGATTTCTTTCCTTCCACTAACTTTGGGTTTTGTTTGTTCTTCTTTCTCTAGTTCCTTTAGGTGTAAGGTGAGATTGTTTATTTGAGATTTTTCTTGTTTCTTGAGGTAGACTTATATAGCTATAAATTTCCCTCTTAGAACTGCTTTTGCTGCATCCCATAGGTTTTGAATTGTCGTGTTTCATTGTCATTTATCTGTAGGTATTTTTTGATTTCTTCTTTGATTTCTTCAGTGATCTCTTGGTTATTAAGTAGTGTATTGTTTAGCCTCCATGTGTTTGTGTTTTTTACATTTTTTTCCCTCTAATTGACTTCTAGTCTCATAGCGTTGTGGTTGGAAAAGATGCTTGATATGATTTCAGTTTTCTTAAATTTACCGAGGCTTGATTTGTGACCCACGATGTGATCTATCCTGGAGAATGTTCTGTGCGCACTTGAGAAGAAAGTGTAATCTGCTGTTTTGGGATAGAATGTCCTATAAAAATCAATTAAATCTATCTGGTCTGTTGTGTCAGTTAAAGCTTGTGTTTCCTTATTAATTTTCTGTCTGGATGATTTGTTCATTGGTGTAAGTGAGGTGTTAAAGTCCCCCACTATAATTGTGTTACTGTCGATTTTCTCTCTTATAGCTGTTAGCAGTTGCCTTATCTATTGAGGTGCTCCTATGTTGGGTGCATATATATTTATAATTGTTATATCTTCTTGGATTGATCCCTTGATCATTATGTAGTGTCCTTCCTTGTCTCTTGTAACATTCTTTATTTTAAAGTCTATTTTATGTGATATGAAAATTGCTACTCCAGCTTTCTTTTGATTTCCATTTGCATGCAATATCTTTTTCCATCCACTCACATTGTCTGTATGTGTTCCTAGGTCTGAAGTGGGTCTCTTGTAGGCAGCGTATATGGGTCTTGTTTTTGTATCCATTCAGCGAGCCTGTATCTTTTGGTTGGAGCATTTAATCCACTCACGTTTAAGGTAATTATTGATATGTATATTCCTAATACCATTTTATTAATTGTCATGGGTTTGTTTTTGTAGGTCCTTTTCTTCTCATGTGTTTCCCACTTAGAGAAGTTCTTTTAGCATTTGTTGTAGAGCTGTTTTGGTGGTGCTGAATTCTCTTAGCTTTTGCTTGTCTGTAAAGCTTTTGATTTCTCCATCAAATCTGAATGAGATCCTTGCCGAGTAGAGTAATCTGGGTTGTAGGTTCTTCCCTTTCATCACTTTAAATATATTGTGCCACTCCATTCTGGCCTGTAGAGTTTCTGCTGAGAAAGCTGTTAACCTTATGGGAGTTCCCTTGTATGTTATTTGTTGTTTTTCCCTTGTTGCTTTCAAGAAGTTTTCTTTGTTTTTAGTTTTTGCTAATTTGATTACTGTGTGTCTCAGCATGTTTATCCTTGGGTTTATCCTGCCTGGGACTCTCTGCGCTTCCTGGACTTGGGTGGCTATTTCCTTTCCCATGTTAGGGAAGTTTTCGACTATAATCTCTTCAAATATTTTCTCTGGTCCTTTCTCTCTCTCTTCTCCTCTGGAACCCCTGTACTGCGAATGTTGTTATGTTTAATGTTGTCCCAGTGGTTTCTTAGGCTGTCTTCATTTCTTTTCATTCTTTTTTCTTTATTCTGTTCCACAGCAGTGAATTCCACCATTCTGTCTTCCAGGTTACTTATCTGTTCTTCTGCCTCAGTTATTCTGCTATTGATTCCTTCTAGTGTATTTTTCATTTCAGTTATTATATTGTTCATTTCTGTTTGTTTGTTCTTTAATCCTTCTAGGTCTTTGTTAAACATTTCTTGCATCTTCTCCATCTTTGCCTCCATTCTTTTTCCGAGTTCCTGGATCATCTCCATTATCATTATTCTGAATTCTTTTTCTGGAAGGTTGCCTATCTCCACTCCATTTAGTTGTTTTTCTGGGGTTTTTCTTGTTCCTTCATCTGGTACAAAGTCCTCTGCCTTTTCATTTTGTCTATCTTTCTATGTATGAGGTTTTCCTTCCACATGGTGCAGAATTGTAGTTCTTCTTGCTTCTGCTGTCTGCCCTCTATTAAGAGAACTTCTGAAATCGTATGCAGAGCCACAAAGTGAAGCCATTTGAACAATAATTGAAGAAGAGCAAATCAATGAGGATCATTATAGGATAAGGAATAATTTTAGTATCAAAAATTTTTTAAATAGACCTTAGAGAAGTAGAAAAATAGGTGAAACCGTCAAATAAGTACCCTCTTTATGATCACGTGGTGATAGCTATCTAGAAGTGAATATAATACACTAGTATATAATTTTTGTCAAAAATTTTAGCTCCCCAGTGGAAACTTGATTCATTAGAAGAATTATAACATAGTTGTGATTATTTATCTAAATTTTGTTAAATATAATTTGAAATGAAGTTATTATTTCTTTTTTCAAGTTAAAATTCTAGTGAAGTCTTTTTTCCCACTGTCTGTTATTTAGTTTCAAGTAGATTCAGTTCAAATAGCCTTATTCTATTCAGTGTGGTAGTAAGAAAGCTAACTGTAGAGTTAAAAACTGAGTTGCAATCCAGTCTACTGTCTACTAGTTCCATGCCTTTATGCAAGTTACTTAACATTTTATTATTCTCCTTAAATAGGGATAATAATGGTCCCAAGTTTATAATGTTATGAGGATTGAGCTAATACATGTGTCACTTAGGACAGTACTTGGCACATAGTACACATTCAAAAAAGTTACTTTTTGATATAGTAATTGTCTTCATATATAGACAATGAATATTACCATTATCTTGTCTTTGTTTTCAGTTCTTCTGAGCTCAATTTTTGAGAAGCCTGAGGCCTGTAGAACCTTAGTTTCAGCTTTCAAAATCAATGCTTTACCAAAAGGCTAGATATTAAGTGGGGGAAACGAAAACAAACAAAAAGTGTCCTCTGAGTCTGTGATAAAATGATAGTAAACTGTATATACATAAACTTTTATTTTCATCTCTGAAAATAATTCAGGAGCTTCCTGAATCTTAAATTGATATCTTAAATTACTTTTAATATTCTCAGGCACATATCTGGCTCAGACCTTTTTCTCAGTGCAAGTTATATCTATAACCATTATTGTGACTGCAAAGACCAACATTATTACCTTTCTGGAGACAAAATCAATGATGTCATCTGCCTTCCAGTGGAAAGAGTACTTCGTGATGTACCGGTGTTGGCCTGCCAGGACAGAGTACTCAGAGTTTTACAGGTTGCTGTTTTGCATTTTTATAGTTTTTCATAATTTAGGTAAAAAAATATTGCTGAACAGTGTATACTTGAGATAAATTACTTTAGTGAAATCTTTGACAGGTTTTTAGAGAGGCATATATGGAAGAAAGGACACTTTTCCCCCCACACATAATATATGAGTTAGTACAATAAGAATCTAATGCCTTTGCTATAAGGAACCCTTCCTAGCTTTTCCTTTTTTTTTTTTTTTTTTTTTTTTTGCAGTACACGGGCCTCTCACCTCTCACTGTTGTGGCCTCTCCCATTGTGGAGCACAGGCTCTGGACGTACAGGCTCAGCGGCCATGGCTCACGGGCCTAGCCGCTCCGTGGCATGTGGGATCTTCCCGGACCGGGGCACGAACCCGTGTCCCCTGCATCGGCAGGCGGACTCTCAACCACTACGCCACCAGGGAAGCCCCCCTTTTTTTTTTTTTATTTCTTCCATCCCCCTCCCCTCTCCCAAAAAATCAAATTAAAGGAGGAAATTGGGTTGGGGAGAGGGTGTTAGGCTTTAACAGGAGAGAGTTGAGATCAGAGTTGTATCATTTGAATTTACCCAGCATTTATGACAGTATGTTGAACAGAATAAGCACTCAGTAAATATTTGAAAAAGCATCTACTATCTTTATATTTCTATTAAAAACCATGATTAGCTAAAACAACTACTTAAGGCCATTGTTATTAGTAGTACTAATTACAACTGTCTTCTTGAAAGTGACTTTTTTTTTTTTTGCCGCACCACACGGCTTGCGGGATCTTAGTTCCCAGACCAGGGATTGAACCCAGACCCTTGGCAGTGAAAGCGCTGAGTCCTAACCACTGGACCAGCAGGGAATTCCGAAAGTGACTTTCAATAAAATAGACATACCCTCTGTCTCTTTCTCCTTCTCTCTCTCTCTCTCTCACACACACACACACACACACACACACACTCACACACACACACACACACACACCCCAGGACCCATAAAACAAAGTTTAGATGTAAATAACATATAACAAGTGGATTAATTGGATCAAAATTTAGGATGATAGTGCAATTGAACAACAAGTCTAGCTGTTTATTCTGTGCCACCAAAGACTATCTCACTCTTTGGAATTTCATAGTTAGATGGCCTGTCTCAGCACCAGCCCTTTTATAGAAGAAATCCAGTGGTTCTGTGAAGTTCTTTTTTTTTTTTTTCTCTATGGGGAATTAAAGTAATGTTCAAGGTTCACTCTAGGGGCGTGAACGATTAATTTCTCCCCTAGCCTATGCTCCCAAATATGAGTTGTTTGAATAAGGCTTTTAATGAGTTTGCTCACACCCATTTAGAAATTGATCTGGCTGAATTCTAGGATTCTGCTTTGTTTAAAAAGAGATCCATATGCTAATTGTAAAAAAAAAAAAATCACTAAGTATTTGTGGAAAGTAAAAAGTTGAAGTCTTTCCTCTGCCCTGCACACTTTTCCCCTACTCCCCCTCTGCCTTTGTAGGCAATCCGTTACCCCAAAGGTAGCCTTTTTAAAACAGTTTTGTGTGTATTCTTTTGTGTTTATATAGTTACATGTAGATATCTGTGAATTTTTAATGTTTTTCTAAATAAAATATAAAGCATATGGCTCTTATATAGTCTATATATATTTAAAATTTTTAAACAATAATGGTACACCAGATTTACTGTAATTTTGCCAATGTTTTTTCATTGAGTGATTTATCATACTTTTTCTATGTGAATTTAATACTTCTACCTCATTCTTTAACAGCTTCACAAATACTATTCACAAATACTATGCATTATAAGTGACAAAATTGAAAAAAAGACAAATGAAAGGATTTAACTGTTTTCTTATCTAAATAGCAGGTCATTCTGCCTCTTACTAGAGTGGGTTTTGGAAATACCCAAAGGCAAGGCCAGAGTTTTCTGAGTCTGTTTGAATGTACTCTAAGTTAAAGCCCTTGAGTTAGAGAGGACAGAAGAAACAACTTGTTCCTGGGAAGTTTTTTTTTTTTTTTTTTTTTTTTTTTTACCGCATTGCTAAAGCTAAGAAGCCCTTTACTATTTTTTTTTTTTTTTTCTTGCGTTATGCGGGCCTCTCACTGCTGTGGCCTCTCCCATTTGCGGAGCACAGGCTCCGGACGCGCAGGCTCAGCGGCCATGGCTCACGGGCCCAGCCGCTCCGCGGCACGTGGGATCCTCCCGAAACGGGGCACGAACCCGCGTCTCCTGCATCGGCAGGCGGACTCTCAAGCACTGCGCCACCAGGGAAGCCCCATCCTGGGAAGTTTTGATAGGGAAATTTACTAGTGTCAAGTTTTCAGGCAAACAAAGTACCTAAAGTGAAAAGTATTCAAAGTGGAGAATATTTGAAATATTTATTTCCTCACTCTTTATATTTTATATATGTATATTTTTATTATAAAATGAGTCGACATGTGCAGAATTGCTAACAAATAGAAGTTAATATTCACAATCTAGTTTTTTTCAGTAGTTTTATTCCAGGGTTCTTTATATGAATATTGATATTATTTATGAATACCTATATTATTTTAAATTTGTCTTCTGTTTTAGTTTTAAAATACTTGTTCTCCTTCAGGGATCTGATGTGATGTATGAAATTGAAGTTCCTGGCCCACCTACTGTTTTAGCCCTACACAATGGAAATGGCGGTAATCAGGGCTTTATTTTTGACAGTCAAATAAGGGAGTGAGTTACGTTATTTAAGTCTAGATATTTCAGGGTTTTTAATCATTTAACTATATATTAAGTGAAAATGGGAAATTGTAGGAAGAACATGAACTGGAATAGAGACAATTGTCTTCTAACTTGCCAGTTGCTAACAGTAATGTGTTATTGAACTTTAACTTTTTGGTTTCCTCATCTTAAAATTAGTTGATGAGGAAAGGTCTTATCTCTTATGGTTATAAATTCTGTGAATGTATAACCATCCTTCTAAGTTAAGTAAATTAATTAAAATCTGTCTTTTTATAATATTTTAAATGAGATTTTTACATGAAAGACAATACATTTGAAAATATTTCAATTTTAAAGAAATAGTGTGAGTTGTGGGGTAAATATAATATGTTGACTTTAAATATAACTAGGTGACTCTGGAGAAGACCTTTTGTTTGGAACGTCAGATGGAAAACTTGGGCTTATTCAGATCACTACATCCAAACCAATACACAAGTGGGAAATTCGAAATGAGAAAAAGAGGGGAGGTATTATTTATCTATCTATTTATTTATTTATTTATTTATTTATTTATTTATTTATGGCTGTGTTGGGTCTTCATTGCTGCGCATGGGCTTTCTCTAGTTGTGGCGAGCGGGGGCTATTCTTTGTTGCGGTGTGCGGGCTTCTCATTGTGGTGGCTTCTCTTGTTGCGGAGCATGGTCTCTAGGTGCGCGGGCTTCAGTGGTTGTGGCACGTGGGCTCAGTAGTAGTGGCTCATGGGCTCTAGAGCGCAGGCTCAGTAGTTGTGGCACATTGGCTTAGTTGCTCCGCGGCATGTGACATCTTCCTGGACCAGGGCTCAAACCCGTATCCCCTGCATTGGCAGGCGGATTCTTAACCACTGCACCACCAGGGAAGTTGGGAGGTATGTTTTTGATGTAATTCAGATTCTGAATTTCAGTGATTATTAAATAAAATATACTGGGAATTTCCTGGTGATTCAATGGTTAGGACTCCGTGCTTTCACTTCCAAGGGTGTGGGTTCGATAGATAGATAAATAGGTCAACCTACATTATATAGTTCATTCTGTTTTATTTATTCATAATGTATAGGAGACTTAGCAATTTACAGAGCCGCCTCAGGTTTATTTACTGTTTGTTTATTAAGCAGGTCTATCATTACTGTTGCCATAATTTTTAAAGTAAGATATGCTAATATAAATTGGGATGGATAGGCTTTTATGGACTAATGTCTATCTATAACATTAATCTATGCTCAAATCCATTTTTCATTTTTTGCTGTAGGGAATTAATTGGAATTTGGGAGTACTTGGTATGAGGCAAAGAAGTACAGTTGGGTCAGGGGATATTCCTTTTTTCTAAGGAATTTACACCTTTCTAAGGGGAATTTATATCTGACTTGGTAGGTTTGGATGGCTATTTATAAGTACAGCATGAGATCTGATTGACAAGAAAACGTGTTAACAATGTATAAGATTTAGGGGAAAAGAATGTCCAGGAAGAGGAAAAAGTAAAGGCAGAGGACTTGAGGCAGAGGTAAACTCGATTCATTTGAGGAGAAGAAGGAAGACCAGCGTGGCTGAATATGTTCTTATGACATGAGATGAAGTCACAGAGGTAGGGTAAGGCCAGATCACGTAGGTCCCCATGAACCTTGGTAAAAGGGTTTGAATTTTAATCTAACTGTAGTGGGGAGTCATTGGAAAATTGTAAGTGGGGGTATGATGTGATCTAATTTACCAAACTAAAATAAAAACACTCCGTGGAGAGTGGGTTTGTAGGGAAGCAGGTCAAAATTAGAGGCATGGAGTTCAATTGGGAAGTTATTATTATAGTTGTTTTGTTTTAGTTTTTTAAAAATTTTATTTATTTGTTTTATATTTGCCTGTGTTGAGTCTTTGTTGCTGCACGCAGGCTTTCTCTGGTTGTGGCGAGCGGAGGCTACTCTTTGTTGCGGTGTGTGGGCTTCTCATTGTTGTGGCTTCTCTTGTTGTGGAGCATGGGCTCTAGGCACGTGGGCTTCAGTAGTTGTGTCACGTGGGCTCAGTAGTTGTGGCTTGTGGGCTCTAGAGCGCAGGCTCAGTAGTTGTGGCGCCTGGGCTTAGTTGCTCCGCAGCACGTGGGATCTTCCTGGCCCAGGGCTCAAACCCATGTCCCCTGCATCAGCAGGCGGATTCTCAGCCACTGCGCCACCAGGGAAGCCCTATAGTTGTTTTAATTTATCCTAGTTTTTTTTCCTACTCTGATTTGATATAGATATTTTTTTATTCATACTTGGTATATTTTTTACTATAATATCAATTTTATTGATAACTTATCACTTACCTTTTTTAAAGGTATTTTGTGTATTGACAGCTTTGACATTGTGGGTGACGGGGTTAAAGATTTACTTGTTGGAAGAGATGATGGAATGGTGGAAGTGTATAGTTTTGATAATGTAAATGAGCCTGTTCTACGATTTGATCAGGTAAGTTCACTTTTAAAAAGACTATATATGCTTATTATTCATCAAACAATTATAGAGATGACTGACTTTGTGTTTTATTAAATGAAATATATTAAAATCTTGTGTTTGGCTTAAAATATCTCTGCTTTGACATTATCAAAATCTTCTCTAGACTACTCTTATGTTTGAATAAATGACTATTGCCCTCAAGCTGAACAATAAATTACGTTTTTATTTGATTTCTAAATACTGTATATCCAAATTATTATATGTATTACCTTAGTTTCTATAATGCATAATAGATTACAGGAGTAACATTTATATGTTTAGGTAGCATAAATGAGATTGTGTTGTTTTAAAGTAATCAGGTTTTAGGAATAAACTTCGTATTGTTAAGACAATATCAAAAATATCCTTAAGCAGGGCTTCCCTGGTGGCGCAGTGGTTAAGAGTCCGCCTGCCGATGCAGGGGACACGGGTTTGTGCCCCGGTCCGGGAAGATCCTGCATGCCGCAGAGCGGCTGGGCCCGTGAGCCGCTGAGCCTGTGCGTCCGGCAACGGGAGAGGCCACAACAGTGAGAGGCCCGCGTACCGCTTATATATATGTGTGTGTGTGTGTGTGTGTGTGTGTATATATATATCCTTAAGCAGAGAGGGAAAAGTAGCAATTTCACTTATTGCCACCCAAGATCCACAGTATGAGAAGAAATACTAGATAAGAGTAATTTTTAGTTCACAAATTTTAAGTGTAGTTAAGCTTGTTTATCCCAAGGTGCAGAGTCACATGGAGAAGCATTCTGGCATAAACTGAATCTTTCATTTTCATAAAATGGTGTTCTCCTGTCCAGGGTTTCCCCATCCTGCCTCATGCATGATGTATTGAGGCTGTTTAATGACAGCAACGAAAAACCACAACTCAGTATGAACTTTTCTTTCTTTGTCTAATTTCTCTAATAGTGGTAAATTTCTCCCAGTACCTACTTTAATTGCATATCAGTAAGTAACAGATGTTTTGGTACATAGATAAAGTGTATTATTATATAGATAATATGGGGATAAAAACATTATACAACTTATTTTCTGGATTTATTTTGTACTTGTTCATCTTTCTTTGGTGCAAAAAGTTACCTTGCTAATGATGCAAGTAATAGTTCAGGCTTAAAAGTACATAATAATCCTGTGTTGGTGATCTCCAATTTTTTTCTCATCAACCCCTGAGAAACTTTCCTATTTAGACCCCAAGTTTCCTCTTTGACTTCTATTCCAAACCCCAGTAATGACATAGCATGTCTCCCCTCTGCCAGGTGTGGCACTAAGAATTCCTGTCTTCCCAATCTTTCTTCTGTTTGTCTGATGATAGAGGTACTGCTTCCATGTTGTGTTAAGGCTGCGAATATGCTGCCTCATCTTGATTCATGATGTCACTCTCTTTGTTGTTTTCCTAATCAGGAGAAGTCCTCCTATCTGACATAGTCTGGACTGATGGTTAATCAAAAGAGTTAAGGAGCAGATCATAAAAAGGCAATATGTACATACCTTAAACATCACATTTTAATTTAAACTTATAAATATATATTTATTCACCAATATTTTGAGCAGTGACCAAGGTCTTTTCTTGTGGGTTCCCCTAATTGGCATTCCATGTTGTTACTTACATAAAGCATGTCTATACTATGTTGTCTATGATCTCCTGTGTTATGGTTCTATGACTGTTTTTTTTAAGGTGTAAGTTGAATTAACTAAATCTACAACTCCAAGACTTTTATGAAAAGGTACTTGAAGTACATAAGATAAATGAATTTCATTAAAGTGTTGTATTGACAAAAAACATGTAGAAATTAACAGTTTTTAAATTTTTATAACTTTTTCTGAGTACATTAGGTTAAATAAGGTACTTCTAAGGGAGTGAAAGAGTAAGTTATAGTTAATAGTCACTCAATAAACCACTCAGAAAGTGAGAATGTGTGTGACTCTTTTGACTCTGTAAAACATTCTTCTGTAGTCAGCTGGTTTCCAGTGTTTTGCTTTCAATAAATAGAAGGAGGACCTAATCAAGGTGTCAGATGATACATCATTAAACATTTTCAGTGGTAGATCAGATGATTTTAGGTATGTAACTTGGAAGATACTTAAACAATATGGTGAACTTTCTACAACAAAATTTCTTTTAGTCTCATCAATATCTTTATGGGACTAAGCTCGATTAGTGCTTCTATCTATGAAAATGAAAAAAAGGAATAGGACTGATGTTGAACTCAGTCTCATTCTACCAATATATAATTAATACTCATTGTGGTACATGAATAGTTTAGAAGGAAAAAATGTCCCATTGTCTCATGAGATACATTTCCTGTAGAATTTTGTTTTAGTGGTTAGTTATTATTTAAAAATATAAAATATATATTTGTCGATCAATTGTGAAATACTAATAATTAGGACAATAGAAATTTCTAATTCTTAGAGCTTTTTAATCACAGAAGATAAAAAAATTCTATTTCTTTTTTCTTGGTTGCAGAGAAATATAAAAGAATTTCAAGCATATGAGTACATTACATTAAGATAAATATATGTGGGGGAAGTGGAGTGAAAATAGAAGTTTAGGGAACAATGTAAAATTTCCAGCTGTGAAAGAAGGATTTGTTTTTTCATTTTTAAGTCAATTGTGTATATAAATTTGTCTTGATATTTATTCATTGGGTATGATTGGAATGTGATTATGTGACTTTTATTTTAAAATTATAATCTCTAAAACTTCCAGATATTACATTCTTTGTAACTATTTAAAGTGGTGATGAAAATCTGAAAGTCAGTTTAAAAATGTACACAGGGATGGATGCAGTTTTGTTTGTTTGTTTTTTCAGAATTAACTTTAGCGAGAACATGAACAAAAAAGTTTGAAGAATTCTAGTGTATATGAAATCCACTGGGACACTTGTTAAAAATGCACTTGGGGAATTCCCTGGTGGTCCAGTGGTTAGGACTCTCCACTTCCCTTGCAGTGGGCACGGGTTCCATCCCTGATCGGGGAGCTAAGATTCCTGCAAGATGTGCAGTGCGGCCAAAAAAAAAAAGAAAAAAAAATGCACCTATGAACCTAACTTCATGCGAATGTATAATCAAACCTTTGTCACTTGAATCTCTCAGGTAATTAGCTCAGGAACAGCTAAGATAGCCTGATTTGCAGAATAGCTCAGAGGTTTGCCTCTTACAGGGAGGATGAAGAGAACTAGCATTTTTAATGCTGGTGTCCATTCCCTGTACCTTCCCCTTTAGGACAATGGTTCTAGGCCTTGCCTGATAATAATTACCTGGCAGAGCTACTGGTCAAACTCATTAATGGGTTGCCAACACATTTTTTTTAAAATGAAAGAGAATAGATTAGAATATATCAGAGTGCAACACAAACCTTTTAAGTTATATCTGTTGTTGTGTATGTTCATATGTGAATTATACCGGATTGCAATATGAAACTTATTGCTTGCTTTCCAAACAGCTTGAAAGCCACTGACCTAGAGTGCTTGTTAAAAATACAGATTCCTAGTTGACTCACCCAAATGATTATTGTCAGACAAGTTTGGGAAGTATTGCTTAAAAGAGATATAAACCCTGAAGCATCTGAAAAACTTGGTTTCTCTCCATAGTAGCAAATTGTCTAAAGGTTCCATGTAAGCTAGTGTCTTCTTTATTCTTCTAAAATCTATTTGGAAAAAACACATGAGAGGTGGTCTGTGGAATTCAGGTAATAAACTAAATGTATTGAGAGTTTTGCTTATGTAATTTTTTTTTTTTTTTTTTTTTGACCACGTGGCTTGTAGGATCCTAGTTTCCTGACAAGGGATGGAACCCAGGCCCCCTGCAGTGGAAGCATGGAGTCCTAACTACAGCACTGCCAGGGAATTCCCGCATATATCATTTTTTAAAAAAAACTTATTTCTTTATATAAATAAATGATTTTGCTTGTTAGATGACTACTGTAGCTGAGTGGTACACACAAATATATGAATCAATTTCAATCTTCTTTCCTCAAATTAAAAAGCACTGGAATTTTCAGCCATTTGTGCAGGATTTTCACCTTTCCAATCTCAGTGTCTACATATAATAAGTATTCAATAAATATATGTTGAATGTTGGGAGACAGGAAAATAAGTTTTGTGGCTTATTATTTCACATATCTGTGAAATTTTATTAATGATGTGCTTGATCTTAAATTTATTTTAGACGTTGTCTGAGAGTGTCACATCTATCCAGGGTGGCTGTGTAGGGGAAAGATGGCTATGATGAAATCGTGGTATCCACATATTCAGGGGAAAGGTAAGGTAATAGCTAGTTGAAGAAAGAATCAATAATAAAAAATATAAATTGCTTTTGATGATTACTTTTTAAAATGTTTATTAGTAAGTCACTCTTACCTACAGCATTAAAAGCTCTAATGGTTAAAAAATAAGAAAGGAAGGAGTAGGTATATTGATTTATAAAGCAGTTAATATTTGAATAATACTTTTTTAAAGTACTTAGTATATCTCTAGCATCTTTGAAAATTAAATGATATCCTTTGATTTAAAAAGAATATTTACTGAAATTTAGTTTGTTTTGTTACTGTGTACATTTCTTATAAAACTTGCTTGCTTTTGAGTAGGTCATTTTTGTATTCTCACAATAGTTATATGAGAGTTTAACTTTCCATGAAAATAATTTTTGAAAGACAAATTTTATTCATCAGCTATTTTTTGCATTTGCCTAGAATGTGTTGACTTATTCCATACTTGAAAACTAAAACTTTAAATTAAGAAGTGACAGATTTCCTTAATGGTAGTATTACAGTATTTCAGGCAAAACAAAAATGGTATCCAAAGTAATTTCTTTATGGTTTGAATATCTTCTAGCTTGATTTCTTCTGCGTTTTGTTTTGTCTTGTTTTTTGAAAAGGAATAAGTCCAAGACTAAGTGAGGTTGATGTTGGTGGACACACAGGCATGTATCTTGGGTTTCTTTTAACACTAGCAGCACTTAATGGTGCACGATTGTAATTCATCTCTGCAGGCTGGGTTACAGGTCTGACAACAGAGCCTATTCATAAGGAAAGTGGACCAGGAGAAGAACTAAAAATTAATCAGGAGATGCAGAATAAAATTTCTTCTTTACGGTAATTTTGGATTTTTGTTTGCTTCTTTTTTTTTTTCATTTCATAAAGTGTGTGATGTTTTTTTCTTATTTATAAATGCAGTATATTTTATTGGAAGGAATTATACATTTAATTAGTTTATCACCTTTTAAAATAAAAGCTTATCAGTTTGAGAAAATTAGCAGTAAGTGCTGATTAATATTTTGGAGTTAGAAATACACTTTTTATATGTTTTATTCTATGTTGATTTTTTTTCTTAGCTCAAGAATTGTATTTTTTCATTCGTTTATTATAAACAGTTACAGTGGTTTTTTTTGCTTGTTTGTTTGTTTTCATAGACATTAGAAAGAAACCAACACAGATGACTCTATTCCTCATTACTTCTAATGTTTACTGCTCTTGTGGACCCTTCTGAGTCTGTAACTTTGGCTTATAAGTTTTCTTACTGGAAATGAGTAATGTTGACTCTCTTAGACACAGGGATTGCTTTCATGACCTGTTCAATTTGATAAGTCCTGTGAAAATGGCCTCAAGGAAAATTGCTGCATACAATGAAGAAGTGGGAGTCACTGAAACTTTTAGTGACTATTCATTCTCCTTACCCTAGCCCTTCAGCCCTCAGCCCTCAGGAGTGAGGGCTGATCCTTTTTTGGTGGTAGTTGATGGCTACAGAAGTTTTTGAGGCAACCAAATGCCACAGTACTAGTTCACTAAAGCCACACCACCAGTTCACCACAAACGAGTTCACCAAAGTCACCAAGAGAGAAAGCTCTAATGTTCATGCAGCAAGGACACCAAGGAGAGTTAATGAACTACTATCTCATGTCCTCAGTACAATACCTCATATTTATAACCAAGTCAGCTCCCTCCTGATTCCACTGGAATGTACGTTCCCGAGAAGCTTATGTCTATTTTGTTGATTCAGCACCCTGATCCTAAGTACATAGAGTCACTTAGTGAATATTTCTTGGGTGAATGAATCTTTTCTTTTGTTTAGTGCACAAATCCCTTCCAAGCGCCTTCCCAGACTTTTCCCCCTAAATTGGGGCTAGTAGCTAAACCTCATGTTGTTCTACCCTAGTTACTATTTACTTCATTTCCTTTCCCTTTAACTGGAGCAGCTCTAAGCAATGCCTGCACAGTTCAATCTCCAACACTTGGTAGAACTTCAGCTGTACCTCTGGCTCATGATTATCCTTGTGGTCTCCAAAATATTCATACTCAGCAGCCTTCTTATTTTGTCTATTGCCCCTAATGTCTTACTGAAAGGTACATGTTTACTGATTTCACATGTTCTGTTTCTTCTTATTAAATCTAATATGTTCCTCTACCCCAGAACAATCAGTTTCTTTTTTGATTAGTGCTATATGTGACTGTAACCAGATTCATGTATTAGGATTGATTATTTGCAGCCTGCCTTGATTCTTACAATGCCTTATTAATATTGCTGGTGTGGAGCTGAGTAGATGTTTTAATTTTTAGATCAGAGATAAGTAATGTGGAACCATTAGGTCAGTCATAGAAGTAAAAATTTTGTTCCTATTAGTGTTATAGTTCTAACTCAACCAATAAAAATGGATTTTGCAGCAGTAAATGTCTCAGGCTTTTGGAAATATTCTAAGGATCTCAAATGTTTATACTTATAGGTGACAAATTTGTATATATTTTCCTCTAGGAGTGAGTTGGAACATCTGCAATATAAGGTACTACAGGAAAGAGAGAAATATCAACAGTCTTCTCAATCAAGCAAAGCAAAATCAGCAGTACCTTCATTTAGTGTAAATGACAAGTTTACATTAAATAAAGATGATGCCAGCTACAGCCTTATCTTAGAGGTTCAGACGGCGATAGACAATGTCTTAATACAGGTAAGCAAAATGTCTAATTTCTTTGTTTTATGGCTGGATCTATTTTGCAAACAAGTCATATGCACTGATTATTATTGAACACTTTTAAACAGTGATTTTAAATGTTTATCTTAACCTTCCATTAGCTAATCAGTTGGCTCATAGATTATTTAAATTATGTCTTTATTTTTTATTTATCCCATACATATTAAACAAAAGACCAATGGACTTAAGTTTCAGGAAGACCTAGAAAGGACATTAAAGATTAGTTCTCTGGTTAGCCTTTAGGAGAATCTTAACAGAGATGTGACTTAGAAAACTCCAGTATTTTATATCCTTATTAGAACCTTTTTTAAGCTCCAACTACTGAAATAATACAGCCTGCTCATTAACCATCAGTTTCTAGGTAGATAATCTCAAAAGGTGAAACTTAGGGATAATAATGTATAACTCCATTTATCAATGTATTTAATTCTTTTTTCTTTTTTTGTTATTAGCTTTTTTTTAAATTTTTTTTTTTTTTTTTTTTTTTTTGCTGTATGCGGGCCTCTCACTGCTGTGGCCTCTCCCGTTGCGGAGCACAGACTCCGGACGCGCAGGCTCAGCGGCCATGGCTCACGGGCCCAGCCGCTCCGCGGCATGTGGGATCCTCCCAGACCGGGGCACGAACCCGTGTCCCCTGCATCGGCAGGCGGACTCTCAACCACTGCGCCACCAGGGAAGCCCTAAATTTTTATTTTACATTGGAGTATGGGTGCTTAACAATTATTTTTTCTTTACACTGGAAGATATTCAGGGAGTGGAAAAGGATGATGGTAGGATGAATGGAAAATAAGCAAGATGGAAAACCCATCAGAAAATGAGAAAAGAATAAAGAGGAAGAAAACAAAGTTTAAAAAGATGTGGGGGAGAGATCAGATTATTAATTAAAACTTAGAGGCAGAAATGTCTCTCAGGTAATGCTAGCTCAAGGGCTACTGCATTGAACAACTCCAGAAGCACCATTCACACAGAACACAGTGCAACAGCATTGTCCTAAAAGCTACCTCTCTGGAGGAGACCAAAAATTATCCCCTTTCTGTGTTACAGGTGAAGTAAGAAATGATAAAAATGAACTGATATAGTAAGAATGGTCATATGATTATTTGCAGCCCATGGTAACATTTTTAGCACTGCCAAAAAAGGGTAGGGAGAGTATACTTTAAAGAGAGTGATGAGAGATGAAATTCTGTGATCTGATTAATCCAAATTAGAAAAAAATAAGTCATTGTAATATAACTCTTATTCTTTATTATATTTATTTTCTAGAAGTGCATATTATCAAATACAAGTTCAGAGAGTTCATACTGTCAAATTTAGAGACAGACGTAAACTAGAGCTAAGGAGAACCCTTAGAGAAAATATGTGTTGTGAGAAGTTTTAGTTTTTCATCTAAACCTTTTTTTTTTTTTTTAAATATTGACTGTAGAGTGATGTTCCAATAGATTTACTAGATGTGGATAAAAATTCTGCTGTTGTCAGCTTTAGCAGCTGTGATTCTGAGGTGAGTAAAAATATAAAAAATTCTTCAAATGCTTTCATTTCCATTATGCCATTTTGTATAAAGCCTGTAAATGCTACTAGTGTTTGATGTTTCTTCTGTATTTCCTTTCATAACCCTTCCCTTAAAATCTGCTTCTACTCTCTTTCCC